AATAAAATTGTTTTTTGTGCTGAGGGTGGTAAAACACTGAACAGACTGCCCAGAGAGGTTGTGGAGCCTCTGAAAATCCCAAGGGAAACATCCTGGGCAACCTGCTCTCAGCAGGGAGGCTGGACTAGACCACCTCCAGAGATCCCTCCTGGTCTGCACCACGCTCTGCTTCTATGAATTCGACTTTCTCAGCTAAAGGTTAACTTAGCTGTGACAAAAACCCATATAAACTTTTTATGAAGAGAGAAAATGCTATTTGAAATCTAAGACAAAAAAAATCAGCTGTTCCAAATGCAACTTTTATAGGTTTTGTGGCATTAACCGTATGTTGAAATTCCCCAGGAAAAAAAACCCAATAGGCTTATGCTGTCTCAAAAGCAATGCATTAAAACATTAATTCTGATTCTCACAGGATTTTTTCCCCATATTTCTTACCAGCTATCATGGAATCATAGACTTGATCACAGAATGATTTCTGCCAGAGGGATTGCTGGGGTTCATCTGTTCCAATATTCTATGCAGAGCAGGATCAGCTTTAAAGTTGGATCCAATTTCAAGTTTGAATCATGTTGCACGGGTGATTTCCAGCTGAATTTTGAGCATCTCTCCGTGCAAAAACAATGAACTACATCTATTCCTATCTTACTGCCACATAAATTAAGCTTTCAGCTTCATTTCATCCTCATTAAAGAATATCTCTGAAAAAGATGATTGATAGGTACTCAACTTGGTCTTGTTTTAGCTGACAAAGCTTTGATATGACTGAAATCTCTAGAAAAGCTGCTCGTTTGGTGGACTCCTTCAGACAGGTCCTGAACTCACTGTCTGCCTAAATATGCAGAAAAGGCACTTTCTAAATATTATTTTAAATACGTAAATTTTAGACTTATTCACTGCTAAACAGGTATTATGCTACATTTTTTTTCCCCTTCAAAATTATTTCAGATTAAACACTGCTTCACAGAACAAGTATTGCAACTAGGTTTTTATCAGAAGTATTAATAGAATTATTTTCCAGTGGTGTTATACTGAAGTGTAATCACTTGGCATAGGCAGTAAAAGAAAGGTCAGGCTTTCTGCACAGGGATATAACTCATCCTCAGTGGGTTCAAATAAACACCTAGGATATTTCCACATTTTAAGGGTTGATGTGCGTGTCAAATATTTAAAATTTTGAGCCTAAGAATTCAGTTTAAAATGTTGCCTTATGTCTTGTGTTAGTATTAATTTATACATGTAAAGTCTGAAGAATGAATTGTTCTTAAGAAGGACAAGCAAAGCTAATATACAAAAAAGCCTAGTGCTGCCTGGATGAACAACAAAAACAAGTACTAGACAAATTAATCTGTGGGGGTCCAAAGTCCCCCAGTATTGTCTACAATATCTCTGTTAAGAGAACAGCAGAACAACCAGTCAGACCTGGAAGCTCATATATACATTACAGCACTGCAGACTCTCATTTAGGGGTTTCAGGTGTCATTAGAATTGACTGTTTTCAGCATAGATTTGAGTGCTGAACCCAACCTCTGCTCCCTGATCCAACTATAAAATGACAATGTGATGATTCTTGTTTTGCTCATAAAAATCACGTAAAATTACTTTATGTAATGACAAGCCAGAAGGTGCCTTCCCAAACCTGCAGATTTGCAGTTGTGCAAATGTGTGATTTGCATGAACTCAAAGGCAAGTGCAGAGGTTCAGCTTCACTGCAAAGCAGCCAAAATGCAGCCCAACCCCTAATTCCTTATCTTAAAGTACAGTTTCCTCCTGTAGCTGTACTGGATACTGTAAGGGACCTTAAAGATCTCATTCCAACCTCTTGCACCTTCCACCATCCCAGGTTGCTCCAAGCTCTGTCCAACCTGGCCTGGAACACTTCCAGGGATCCAGGGGCAGCCACAGCTTCTCTGGGCATCCTGTGCCAGGGCCTCACCACACTCAGACACAAGAATTTCTTCCCAATATCCCATCTAACCCTGCCCTGGCAGTGGGAAGTCATTCCCCTTGTCCTGTCCCTCCAGGCCCTTGTCCAAAGTCCCTCTCCAGCTCTCCTGGAGCCCCTTTAGTCACTGGAAGGGGCTCTCAGGTCTCCCTGGAGCCTTCTCTTCTCCAGGTGAACCCCCCCAGCTCTCCCAGCCTGGCTCCAGAGCAGAGGGGCTCCAGCCCTTGGAGCATCTTTGTGGCCTCCTCTGGACTTGCTCCAGCAGCTCCACATCCCTCTGATGTTGGGGGCCCCAGAGCTGGACACAGAACTCCAGTGGGGTCTCACAAGAGCACAAGAGGGAGACAATCCCCCCTGCCTTGACCTTTCTTTGATAATAAGGTGTCCCGTTTCTGTGTTGTGCCATAACAATACAGGTGATGCACTGAAGGGGACCAGACACCAAGAGGAGTCAGCAACATCAGGCACCATAAACTCAGTTCATTTTGCAAGGCATGGAATGAAATACTTTGTAAGGATGCAAATCAAAATTCCACTACAGTTTGCTCAGCAAACAGCAGGATGTCCCCCCGGAGCAGTGATCTCCAGGGTGCCCCATGGAAAACAGAGCTTGAGAAATCACTCACTGTCATACAGGACACAGCCACATACTTTCTGTCACCTTCAGCATTTAAAGCTTGTCATGCTCCCAAAAAAACCCACAGGAATGCAGCATGGGCATTATGTTATTTATAGGCCACAGGTTGGAGACTCTTTCTCAGAGGAAGGTTTGCTTGGATTAAGAGTTTAATAACGGGGCATTTATTCATCCTATCATCAAACATCATCCTAACAAATGCCCTGGATGAAGCTTAGTTATTTCCTTGTTAACATGCTGCAATCCAGGAGCAGAATTAATAAATAAAATCACAGGATTTGACTTACTTTGGGTTTATTTTGAAATTCTAAGTACTAACAGACTGTTACAGCAGCTTGTATTAACTTTGCTGAGCAATTAGAGGACATGGTTAGTTTTTCATCCCCTTCAGTGCTTTATCATATCATTGAGAGCAGTCACTTTGCTTCCCAATGATATTTACAGATTTATTCTGATTTTCACTAACCATAGATAACAGCTCCCTGTAAACCTTGATGGGACCAAAATCTGTTTCATACAGGACACAATTACAACAAATTGTAGCACTTAAGGAATTTATAAACTGAATTCAGCACTTCTCCAACTACTTATGTTTACTCCACCAGCAATAATAATGCAAGTTACAAAGCCTCTCCCAGTGCCTTTGCAAATGGGAATCGTGGATGTCAGTGGATCCAAGATGTATTGAGAGGCATATTATAATGACAAAACCACTTTTCACACACTGTCAGCTGTAATTTTCCTGCAACTCTCCTATTACTACCAAAAAAAAAATAATCTATTGAAAGTTGTTAGTGACTTGACACATATTCCATTTGAAGTGATGGCATACATAGCTTGGGTGTACTTTTTTTGGTTTTGCTTTTTTCTCTTTTAACTTTTTAGAAAAGGCACTGGTGCCTGAATTTGGAGTTTCTTTTTCTGAACTTCTGTGTTTTCACAAATATCAGAGATTATTCTTTCTCACCACTCTCCCCAAACTCCCTAACATCAAATCTGAAAATTTCTGTTCTCTTTCTTAAAAAAAAAAAATAAATTAAAAATCCCTGATTTCTCTTCCTTACTCAATAAGGAGAATCCAAGTACCACTGAAGCCATCCATCCTTCCATCAGAAATTAAGCTACCAAAGGCTGGGAGCACTCAGGAAAACATAGATTTGCTTTCCATGTAAGAGCACAATACCCTGCCACTAACAATGGTGAGCTTTGTGCCAGGACATTGGAACACTAAATCAGCACAGACACACAAACACAGGTAAAAGTGCCTCCCAGAAGGGGGGTTGTACTGGCACAGTGCTGTGGCTCAGGGGTCACATCACTTTATCCACCTTTTTGACAGAGCTGTTGAAGCAGAACACCATACTGCAGGCTAGACCAGAGGAAAGGATCTTTTAAAGTAGTACAAATAGGAAAAAAAAAATATATTCATAAAGTCCTCACTAGCTTTGAGGGGAGTCACAAACTTAACTACTCTCTGAAATGCTGGAAAAACAAATAACACTCTGGTTTTCCTTACAGTGATTACAGAATTCCCCTGAATATTGCCTTGCCTCCAATTTATTCACAAGCTTTTACTTGTGTGGGCATGTGGCCCAAACACAGCCATTCCTACTCTGTGTAACTGCTTTGTACAAAGCTGCAGTTAAAAAATAAAGCTGCTTTATAAAGAGTAACACAACCAAATCCCTACTGAAATATATTGTGAGGCCTCTGTACTTGCAGCTCATGGTTTGTAGGTTGTTCACCAAGTGACAACCAACCAACAGAAATAAAGTGTGAAAGCCAAAACCACTGAATTTTTGCTGTGCAATACTTACTCTGAGCAACCCAATCAACTGTCTATATTAAACAACAGATCAGTAATTTTAGAAATCTATTCCAAAAAATGTTCCATGCATTGGACTGAGATTCCCAGCAACTCTACGTGAATGTCCTCAGCCTGGTCATTAAAACATAAGGACTACCACAACAGAATGAATGCCCAAGATTTGCTAAAGCTGAAAACTAATAAATTCACAGAATGAGTAAGAATGGAAAATTAAATGTGTTCTGTAAAACTGACACTATTCCCTTTAGGGCAAAAATAGGGATGCTGGACAGAGATCTATTAACCAGTTTGCATTTGGACACTGACTCTTTTTGTCCCATCAAGATATTTCAGTTTGAAGTGAGACTTCAAACACAGTTAAAAGACATAAATAAAAATGGGAACATGATGTTTATCCATAAATACAATTTTCACAGTGTTCATCAAATGTGCTGCAGCAGGAAATCTCACATCAAGACATACTGAAAAATGGGAGAGCAAACTGATGGTCCCCACTATGTAGAATGGAAAACCAATACAGATCATATTCTTGCTTAAGAAAACCAGACCCCAAGTGTCCAAAAAACATATTATAGTGATCTAAACAATCTTACCCTCCTTCCCATCAACAGGTTTTGATACTTCCATGTCAAAGCTCTCCTGCAGCTGCTGGCCTTTGAAGCGGTTGAGATGCTCCTGTTCTATTAAGTTACTTTCCTCCTCCTCCAGAGGTTGCCATGTGCCATCAATAAACCACTGTCCACGCATTACAGGGATCTTTTCTGTTTCTGAAATAAAAAAAGATTTTTTTTAATGCAACAAATCACAAACTGACTGCAGGAAAGAGGGGAGGGAATTTCGTTGGGTGTCTTGATGGAAAAGTTACACTCCTGCTGCTGGGATCCGTAATAAATGACTTGAGAAACACCATCACCTTTCCCCACGGGGCTGAAATGAGGAGTTCAATCTGCAAACCTGGGGGCAACGAGGCCAAATTTTCCAAGTGCGTGTGAGGATGCGAGAGATGGACAGAAAAACAGAATCCCAGAATGGTTTGGGTTGGAAGGAGCTTAAAGACCACCTTGTTCCACCCCTTGGCACGGGCAGGGACACCTTCCACTAGCCCAGGTTGCTCCAAGCCCTGTCCAACCTGGCCTTGAACGCTTCCAGGGATGGGGCAGTCCACAACCTCTCTGGGCAACTCAGATGAGGGTTCTGCAAAATTTATTAAAGGTTTAATTTAAACAACAGCCCAGCTTTAGTGGGATATACTCCTCTCCACTCAGCTGCCTTGAATTTTTGAATAATTAAGCTATTTGTGAGGCTTATGCTCCTCTACAGAATTTGACTGATAACAACCATCAGTTTCCAAGTTATCAAGAGGATGCAGAAAGAGGAGGAGATGCAAACCCACTCATGCTTACTCTGACTGCACAGAGCCTTATTTCCTTTGGGAATTGCACTTCCAAGAACCCAAATTACACAACGATTAGCATAAATGGTGATATTTAAAGATGAAAGGATTTTTTTTTTATTAAAATCAGTCTTTTGCTGAGGGCTGGTTTTGGTCACTGTCAATCTCGTTTCAGTTCTCCAAATGAGGAAACAGCATTTACTGCCCACGTGGCAAAAGAGAAATCTCTAAGAAAAATATATCTTGGCTCTTATTTTACATCAAACTGTTCTTGTTGCCCACACTAACCACTGGGAGCAATGTAGGGAGCAAGAATTACCTTCCCATATTCATCCCTGCAAGCAAGATGGGACAATAACACCCATTTTAACTCAGATTAGAATTTCTCCTCCCACACCTGGAAAAATCAAGGAGAAATACTGTGTGTGCCTGTGATCCACAAGCCTGTAAAACCCCAAACTCCAGGTTTGTGGGATTAGCACAGATAGAGGCATGCTGAGAGCCCAGAACAGTTGGACCAGTGACCCCCAGTGCACACTTGGAGGTGTGTGTATATAACTATATATGTACATATAGACTGACTCAGCCAACTGCAAACATCTTGTGTGTGTGCATACAACCCCCAAAAGTTTAGCTCTACATAGCAGATAAGAACTGAACCACAAAAGAGGCTTAAAAAGGAGATGGGGGGGGGGAAATAGGCTTTACTACTCAAAGATCTCTTCCTACCTGGAAACAGGGGAAAAAAAATGACAACTTGGAAATTGATGAAAAGAAACAGTAAATGAAAATTAGGTGAAAAACAACCATGAAATAATAGATTTCAGAGTTACTGAGCACAGAAGGGATCTCTCTGACCTATCACCAGAGCAGAGCAAACACAGCTGGGTGAGGTGACCCAGCCACAGGCAGTGGTTTTTAGGCTGGTCACAGAGCTCTGTGAGCACAGCCACTAATCCAGGTCACAAAACCATCTGTTTCTCAGAGTCCCAGACTGGGAATGGGCACATCCCACTGACATTGTGATGTCTCTGCACTGCCCTCTGCTACAGATATGTCATTATTGTTCCTTGTGCCTGCAGACACCGGTACACACCAAAAGTAATTTTCATACTAACTGCAAAACTAATTGGAACACACACACACCCCCCAGCTTACTTGGAACCTCTAAACCACTCTGAATTCTTCATCCCTCAGACCACGGAATGCACAAGCTATGAAAGCAAGAGGAAAATCACTTTGCAATAATCTTCCCACAGGGTAAACAACACTCGAAAGGTTCCAAAGCCAAATTCTGAAACCTGTCCCATAGGGGATTTACAGGAAAACACTCTTTCCACAGTACTAAAAGTGGCAAAAAGCTCTTAGCACCCCACCTCTGTCACAGAAGGAAGGCACAGGAGCGGGTGATGACATCCCTACGCTGGTCCTGCCGCAAGGAAAAGTGAACAGCAGGAAAGCTCACGGCAGGGAGGGAAGCAGATGATCTGGAGCAAAGAGCCCAATTACCACTGAACTCCCCTCACTTGGTGCTGGCACAGGTGCTCTCCCAGTTACCCCAGCATTCTCCTGACTGGGAATGCTGTAGAACAGCCCCTCGGGGCACACATGGCACAACACAGAGGAAATTCCCAAAACAACGGCTCCAAGCACTGCCAGGCTCTCATCCCAGCTTCCCACAGATCCCAGTTCCCCTCTCAGGCATTACATGTTCTGGTTCAACCCTCCCAAAGCCCCATTCAAGCTCTTGGCTCCCCCTGCACCCTCAGCTCTGCCTAAATGGAACACAGACAACTCAGGCTCGTGACCTGACCAAAACCCAGACAGAAGTAGTGCAAGACCCAGTTCTGCCACTCAGCTCCTCTCTGCCCTCCCAAAATAGCTATTCCAGGTAGAAGCCAATTGTTACGTGCTGAATTCCTAATGTTTGGCATGTTGATGATCCAGCAGATGAATAAAGAGGTTGGAGTGTTCCAATGGCACAGTTCTTTAGTGGAAATTAATCCCAAACAAAAGCTCAGAGTGGCTTTAAACTGCACAAGGTCACAGTCACCACAAATGGCACAGGAAATCCAATATTCTGTGAAAATCTGCACTAACTTTGGAGTCTACATCCCATCAATGAGGTGTGAAAGATGAATATTTACTTTTCATGAGATGAAAGTCACTTGCAGCAGTGTTAGTTGTCACCACACACAGCAGCCTCCTTCCTTAGCCTTTGCTGTATTCCCAGATATTTTACACCTGCCAGACATCCACATTTTTCAGTACATCCAATACACACAGATCCAGTTAGGCTGCCCTTTACAAACAAAGCTCTGTCTGTAGGAAGGAATGAAATGCACATAAAATGTGAGCCTAGATAAAGGATCCCATTGTGGCTGAAGCAATGACACAACTACGTCAGATGTTAATCCTCACTGGGAAAATCTGTAAGCAATTCCTTAATTCTTGACTAACCAGCCTGTTGAGGCTCCATTCATTGAATCCACAAAAAGATATATATTTTTGAATCATAATCATATGAATACTATTTTGTATTCATTTTGTTTAGAGTACAAGACACCTATTTTTCAGTTTTGAATGGCTTTAAGTTTTTCACATGGGAATTTCCACCTACAGATTTCTGAAATTCTAACCATAAAGTATTAAAATAAACATTTTCAGGCTCTTTTCACCTGAGAGAAACTTTCCCAGAGTCGCTCTTTACAACAGGAGTCTGTAGTACTCAAAAGCAGCTCTCAAACATAACATGGGCAGAGCCTTTCCCAGAAAAGCTCAGCCAGGAAAAACTGTTTGAAATAAGAAAAATTTTAACATAAAATCTTTGCAGAACAGTTCAGCTTGGGAATAAATTAATATATCTGGCTCAGGGTCTGGAAACATATGGAAACATAAATCACTTTCAGTTCCAAAGACAGATTATTATGGAGCTTCGGTTTAAAAACCTGAGTGAGGCAGTTCTGTTTTCCAGCTCTGTGGGATTTTAGGAGGACCAGGGAGGGTTTTTTAACTCATCTCCTCCTTTAAGCTGTTGGACATTTTTAGTGCAGCCAAAGGCACCCTGAGCTACAAGGTGCTTTTATTTCACATCACGAGCTGGATGGCAGGTTTGAACACTGTGCTACTGGGAAACCTCAAGAGAAAACCACCTGGAAGCAAAAGGAAACAAGTAAAGGACAATTCCTGCCATCAGCAGCATGATTTGGTTTTCAGAAAACTGAACATGGTCTTTTTAGAACTGAGATACTCAAATCTGTGACCAGAGCCCACAAAGAGCCATTTTCCATGGAGACAGGCTGGGAGAGCTGGGGGTGTTCACCTGGAGAAGAGAAGGCTCCAGGGAGACCTGAGAGAGCCCCTTCCAGGGCCTAAAGGGGCTCCAGGAGAGCTGGAGAGGGACTGGGGACAAGGGGGAATGGCTTCCCACTGCCAGAGGGCAGGGGTAGATGGGATATTGGGAAGGAATTGTTGGCTGGGAGGGTGGGGAGGCCCTGGCACAGGTTGCCCAGAGAAGCTGTGGCTGCCCTGGGATCCCTGGAAGTGTCCAAGGCCAGGTTGGACGTAGGATTGGAGCAACCTGGGCTAGTGGAAGGTGTCCCTGACCATGGCAGGGGGTGGGACTGGATGATCTTGACTTTCCCTTCCAACCCAAACCATTCTGGGATTCTATGACAACCTACCAGAGGTCACCAGCTCCAAAAGGAGGTGGCATTTCAGTCATGAAGACAGGGAGGTATATTAATGGTAATTACATGGAATAGTCTGGACTGGGTGAGGAAACAAGGAGACTGCAACACAAGGAGATTTTTCAGTAAAATCTGTTCACTGTGGGAAAGAAGAGAGGCCTTCCTAACCACAGTTCCTCTGTTTAATCCTGCACAGGTGCTGCTACTGAAAGATTCCCCTGTGTTTCCATCCCGAGAACTTGATGGAAGCTATTACAGTAAGCAGCATTAAAAAGTGATGAACCAAAACTGCCATTTTAGCACCCAATTTCACTCACTTATCCACCTTCAACAAATTAATTCATGTCTTGGATATTCAGATGATTTCAGAGAAGCTGGAACTACATTCTTTCAGATATTTTTGTTTTATGGAAGAATTAAACACACTGGCATTAAATCATGTTGCAATTTAGCTTGGTTTTTTGTCAATGCATAATTCCAAATCTATTATATGAAGTGTTATTTACCCTTATCCCTGCAATCTCGATCCCTAGGAAAGGATTTGCCTTGATTTCTTTACTGCCTTAAGTCCTACACCACATAATCTGCAGTTGGCAGTGCTTCAGCCTGAGAGATACCAACATATTTGACTGGTTATACACTTGCATGGTTTATTTATATGAGAATTTCTAAATAAATT